TATATATATATATATAGCACCTGTCTTTTAGACATCTGTTTCATTCATCTACAAAATATAATATTAAAACAACTATATCTGACTTGTGTACAACATACCTCAGATTTGTAAGCATCCAACTGGGCATCTAACTCTTCTGCTGATAGTTGGCCTCTGTTTCTGCTTCCTCTCCCCCGAGCTCTGAAACCTCCACTGCCACCACCTTGCCTTCCTTCACTCCTTTCACTCCTTTCACTCCTTTCCTTCCTTTCAAACATGGGCTGACCAAGCCTGCTCCGGTCAAATCCTCTGTTTGAACTGGAAAAAAAAAAAAAAACAGATAAATGAGGTGATTTTTGACAATACCATACGTTTACAATAATAACCTCCGGTCACTGGCACTGTACCTATTCTGACTGCAAGTAAAGCAAGCTCGGTTGCTTGTTTCATTTCTGTGAAGTGCACCATTTGAACACACTAGGCACATCCCAAATCTCAATGCACGTTTCCCTCACTTGTGCTTTTCCTTTGCATTTTAGTTCCTCCCATGTTAGGAGAAGATGCAAGAAGAAAATGCAAGGTGAGAGGAATCAAAGAAAACACTTTTTTGAATTATGATTTGTCCTTTTCCTCCCATCCTTCATCTTAATTGTGCACCCACCAGCTGATTTCTTACAAAGAGGCATGTCGGTTCCAGAAAGACTAGTACTAGGCCACTAATAACGTACATTTAAATTTAGTGCCAGGAACAAAATTTATATTTAGGCTTTTATATAATGCATTTATGAATTATTTTACTGTCTACACTTAAAGCTTTTGTAAAACTTACTTTTGTGTCAACTGTCTACGCAGTGTGTCAGTCTCTGAAGTCACTTGCTGGATTTTCATGGGACGTCCTAAAAAAGCAAAAAACTTTAGTGCTTCTGAAGAAGCACCCAAATTATGGCATCATTTAAGACCTGAATCCTCACCATCAAGTGGGACACCATTATAGTGCTTCAAGGCTTTTAGTGCATCTGCCTTATTTTCAAAGTGAACATCTGCCGTTCCTTTACTACGACCGGACCGGTCGTAGTGTATAGATGCTTTCTTTAATTCCCCAAACTCTGCAAACAGATCCTGGAGGGCAAGGAAGAAACATCAGCCATGTTCCCAACATGTTGCTGCTAGCACCATGGAATAAGAGAGCTCAGTGACCTACCTTGATATCCGAGTCAGAGACACCAAAGTCCAGATTGGAAACCAGTAGCTTGCCACTACTTTCTGCACTTCTTTCAGCTCCCACGCTTTGTCCTCTGTACCCACTATTGTGTTCCTCAAACATGTCATGCTGCCATTTGTCTGGTAACTCTCTGGGCTGGGAAGAGCAAAACATAAATAAAAATGCTGTCTTCAGATTCCACATGTGGTAGAAATTCACAAGAAATTGACTTGTAATCAGATTACCAGATAAATGTTACAGCATATTCCAAATTAAATAAGCATGTAAAGGTACTGCCTATGTCACACCTGAAGCCTATAAAGAAGGCATGTTTATGATAGATCCATATGTCTCATAAGCTAACCGCTTTTTATATACCCACTATAGTCATTACTCCCTATATGAACTGTTAACTCATGTAACTTATCTTCATATTCTGCACTATTTCATTCCATTTCGTCCCATTGCACTAGTGTTTTATAAACTTAATATACTTTATCCATTACTCGTAATTTAAATACATAGTCTGTTGTATATTACCTTACATATCTTACTGTAAATATCAATTGTACATACTGGATATTTAGTTCTGACTGTTCATACTGTAGATAATGCGCACTCTGCACTGCTGTTATTGCACTTCTGGTTAGATGCTAAACTGAATTTCAATGCCTTGTACTTGTACATGTGTAATGACAATAACGTTTAATCTAATCTAATCTAAAAGAGGGTGGCAGTCAGGAAAGGACCATTCAGGTCTTCCATGTGCGCCTTTCTTCTGTGAAAAAAACGAAATCTTCCATCCATGATAAACGAACACCCAGCCAAGTCTCTCTCTCTCTCTCTCCTCGGTCTCGGGGACACGTTTTTAGATAGATTGATATTTTATTGATCCAAATGGAAACTTGCACTGTTTTTTCTGCTCAGTGTTGCTCAAGGAGAGTGAAACATGGTGATGGCGGTAACGGCCTACAGCTGAAGAACACCCAGAAAACCTCACTCACCTCAGGTCAACTATCTTTCAGGCAAATACACCATTTTCGGTAGTTCATTATCATGTGACCACGACTGATAAAACTGATCATTTGTTTTTTTTCCATTTCAACTGCTTCTCGTTCATACCCTGGTGTACGGTGTGGATCTGTTGTTTCTCTCACGGTTGAAGTTTCCCTGTCGATTCCGCACTGGTCTCGACGACCCACCGGCCCGAGCCGAACTTCCACTCTGCCCTGACGATTCTCCTCCGCGGCTGCTGCCTCCTTTCTTATTCATCTTAATAATCTCGTCCAGTGACATGCTCATCTTATCAGCCATCGTGGGTCTTAAGCCTGTAACTATCGCTTAAGACGAACAACAAAAAAAACTTTCAGTGTCAACGTCCAACTGTTTGTGAGGCGCTCACCCAGTTTCGCGGTGTTACAACTTCCGGAAATATATATATACTATGCGGAAGTGGTGACGACAAGTCCTGCCTTTTTTTTTTCTTTTCCTTTTTTCGAAAAACTTTATTTTACATATTGTAGTGTGTTGAGGGAACGTCGTGGACCTTATAAACACAGGGATATGCTACCTATGAATAGTTCTTTTTAACTTTTTAAGCATTTATAATTATAAATTATATTATTATAATGTCAATATTCCCTATAGTGCTTTTACTATAGCTGCATGATTGTTGAAGATTAAGCAGATGAAGTTGTGAAATGTTTCAGTAATAAATATTTAATTACCACATTTTATCATCTAACTTCATGTGATGTGAAATAAATATTTTTGTAGTATATCAAAAAAAAATTTTTTTACAGTGATGGGCAAGACAGTCTCCCCATTGGTCAAACTTCTTTTTTCCTGCTATTGTCATGTTTGTACATTGTGTCATACTGTATCTTGAAACACACTCAGACCCTTGTGTACTACACAATAACATCTTAACTTCAGCCTTTAGCAGATAAAGGCCTGTCAGTCAGATAAAGTTCTTGATGATAAACAGAGAGCCTAAACCAAATTAAGTTGCAGGATCTAATGAGAGACCAAGCAAACTGTGCTTATGGTGTGACATTTTAATCAACATTGTCAATCCATTCTGTCATGGCTGCTCAGGCCATGGCAAGTAAGGAGAGATACCAATTTCAAACTTGCAAGCATGACTTTACTCAACGAAAAGTTACAACACAAGCAAAACTATGAGGTTTGTAAATCTATAGGATCAGTAAATGTGAGTGGCTGCATGACAGATCTGCTGTATAGTGTTGTATGAATAAAAGAGTAAACAGAAAACAAAGAGCTACACTGCTGTCCTCTCCTGGACTGAAGATGATGGGTATTTATTAGTTAATGGGGAGCATTGGGCCCAGGTGCTCCCTCTCACCCAAATGATGATCTGCCCACCTAGTACCTGCAAAAGAGGGAGGGCAAACAAGTACTAACAGCCACAGGCCAGGGCCCTCACAGTTCACACTGAAGGCTGTTTTGTAATAAAACTGGAAAAATGGGGAGCAGGATGAAGTGTTGTTTCGGTCAACAGCCACTAGAGAGCGCCCTGTTGGCAGAAAAGAGAAATATGTTGCTTATCATTTGTCAGATTATGTACTAGTAAGAAGGGGGGAAGAGGTGACTATTGTAGAGCAGGAAGTAGCAAAGGTTAGGAAGGATGAGGTGTGGAAGGCTCTGAGAAGAATGAAGAGTGGAAAGGCTGTTGGTCCAGATGACATACTGTACCTGTAGAGGTGTGGAAGTGTCTAGGAGAGACAGCAGTGGAGTTTCTATCTAGTTTGTTAGAAAAATTTCACAGTATTGATAGAAAAAGCATGTGGGTATCTTCGAATGTTGGTGCAGAATTCTCCGTTTTTGTTGCCATCTCCCCACCACACCTGCCACTTTGTGGGAAGACAATAAGGGAAATTTGTACTTAACACAGGCCTTGAAGACACTTACTGCAGGTGATCTTTCTAACTTCCTAACAACCACAAAAAGGTGTGTATTCCCTTTAGTGGAATGATGGGGCTTGTACAGCCCACAGATAGGTGCTGTTCATATTTGCCGAGCTCTAGAGGGAGATATCTACACCATTCTCATACTGATGGCCTATACTGTATAAGGCTGCAGTTGGCCTGTCACTTAGGTCAAAAGATGTGGTCCATGTTGGGCAACAGAAGTCCAGATGAGTAGTCACACCAATCTGATGTGTTCAGTCTAGTGTGGAGATGACACTGTAGAGTTACCACAGTGAAAGCAGGTGGAGTCATACTAGAAGTAGCCGTTTCAGTTAGTTCAGATGAGAGGTGGCGCTCTGCTCAATAGTTCTAGTATTCAGATAGAATAGATCAATGTCAGACTGGTGTATGGAAGTAGCCTGACAGAAAAATGTGTCAGTAAAAAGGATCTGCCTTGAGACAACCTGGCTATTCCCATGTTATTCAGGTCATACTCTAGGTGTGTTCAGTAGTCCAGGATGTTGATGGAAACCAGTGGGTTTATGCATCAGTATAGTTAATGTGTGAAGAGATTTTGGTGAATAGAGAGTCCAGTTTACTTTGTCAAATGCTTTTTCTGTGTCTAATGATAGGATTATAGTTTTGGTTTGTTTTTACTGAGAAAATTGATTATGTTAAATATTGTATACATGTTATCTGAAGCTTTTCTTTTTTTGATTAAACCTGTTTGATCTGGGTGGATTAACACGGAGATAACTCGCTATTCTGGTGGCTAGAGCTATGGCAATGACTTATAAGTCTGTGTTTAAAATGATAACTGGAAGGTTGGGTTGCGCCTTTGTTGGGTCTTCAGCATTACGTCATATGTATCAGTATCATTTCTGTTGTTTTATTCAAATGATTGAATGGGTCTTATATTTGACAAAGACACAATCCCCACAGACTTTTTATTGCTGGCATTAAGATTTTGGCATGTTCCTCTTGGATAAACTAAACATTTTAACAACACTAAACTTACAACCACTGAGTTGACATTCAGTATCACTTGCTGTGTTGAACCAGCCATAAAGTATAATGCAGAATACAGAGAAAACAGAGAGAGAAAAGAGTCAAATAAATGCCTTTCTTGTTTTTAATGCCACCTAGTGACTCTGCTTTAAAGATGTTCTTCATCTCGGCTGGTTGACACAAAGTAAAGATTCTCATGGCATATCATTTCTCAGTATGTCATGCTGTCCATTTAAACTTAAGGCAAAAATGTGTCTTTTTGTTTTTAAATCCTCAGGCTGAACTAAAACAGCAGCAGATTTGATACCTTCATATATTTTATGGCAATGAATTTAACTCCACAGAAGCTGAAACAGACAGAGATGAAATACAAATAATAAAGGTAGGAATACTTTCCACATCTATAATTTATTAATATCTATACTGTACTATCATATACAATGATACACTGATGTTTTTTCATTGAAAATCAATTAAATGTCTGTTTTTAAGACACAAACTGATAACCTCTACATGCTTAATTCATTCAGAAACAGTTTTTTTGGATTTAAATATAATGGAATCATTTACAGTAATTGAAAATGATACACACAGTCTGTGATATTCAGTTGTCACCCAGTAGTATGAATGTCTGACAATCTGCTGTCTTATTCTGTATTTAACTGTCAGCTGATTTGGAACTTTATTGTCTTTGCTCTATGTTTGGTCACCTCTGTCAGTATGATTGAAAGCATGAATGATACCCCTGTCTACATTTACAGCATACCAGAATGCTTGCAAATAATGTATTTTCTATTAGTAATATTTCTGATACTTAATTAAGCACTTTATAAGCTGATACTGTATATGGTGTATGACAATAACATCAGGTACACAGGTGTGAGAGTAAAGTCCACAGTGGAGGTGATTAATTAAAGCATAAATCGCTTTCATGTCTATAAATACAGTCAAGAATAACTACAGTAAAGCCTTACTAGTGCCCCCTTGAGGTTTCAGTGTTCTTTTGATGCCACACTGATGTGTTGGACAAACAAAGTAGTGGAGCATGAAATAGCTAGTCTTAGATCCATAGTCTTTTCAAAAGCAGGCTTAGGGTTTTTCTTGAGGGTGATTCCAGAGGGTCATAGAAATATAACAGCATTGAGATTGAAAAGCTAAAACCCAATGGTATGCTGCTTTACTGACACATGCTACTCTTTTTCTTCTGGCAGATGTCACTCATTGTTGGCATACTGGCATATGCCACTGCTAGTTATAGTATGTCACTGCTGTGTACCACATAAAAACAACATGTGCTCATGTTCCACACATACCCCTCTCCCTGTTGTACTAACAAAAGGTGGGTGCCATTTCTTTAAGAAGCTGTTTTCTCTCAGCTAAGCTCCTACTTTGACAAATGTAGCATCCAGGACAAATACGTACAGTATCAATTAGGTTTTAGGATGCACCATAGTGGTACACCATAGTCAGCTCTGCTGCTTTCAACGCAATCAGTCACATCATCCTTTTCCAACATGCCTTAAGCATGTTGTGGGCATTCAGGAACTGGGCTTCAGTGGTTTACCTCCTACCACCAAGACAGATCAACCTTAGTTAAAATTGATTAAGTCTGCTCTTCCTCTACACCCATCTCCTGTGGAGTACCACAAGGCTCTATATTAATCTCTATTATATTTTCTTTATACCTGACTGAGCTATTTTTTGAAAAAACTCAAAACTTGAGTATGTGCGCGCCATGGAGGTGACGTTCGATATTGGAGCCAGCGACGTCGTACGTCAATGCAGACCCGTTGTGTATGCGTGGATGATTACATTTGCATGTTTTCATTGTTGACGTCTGATTGAAATATATCCATAGTTTTTATAGCGTAGTTCAGAGCTGTTGAAGCCACTGTGGGAGCGTATTCAGCAA